AATAACCAGAAACGGAGATATGTCAGAGACTGCAATTACACGAACGAAACCTTTATTAAAGGATAAAAGAACAAATAAAAAAAAAGTAAAAGAAAAAAATTCGACATCCATATTACCATTCAAAATTTATTCAAATGTGACAGATTTAATTCCTATTTTGATTTGAATAGGCAGGCGGAGGCATGGTTACTCCCCCCCCCCTATACTCCCACACCCCACACCCCTCCCCTACCCACTATTCTCCTGCTTTGCCCGTCCATACCCCTCCTCCCCCCTCCCCCCTCTCTTTACTCTTCTTACTTGCCTCTATCTCCGTATTCTCTCTCTCTCTCTCTCTCTCTCTCTCTCTCTTCTTCTTCTCTCTCTCTCTCTCTCTCTCTCTTCTCTTCTCTCTCTCTCTCTCTCTCTCTCTCTCTCTTCTCTTTCTCTCTCTCTCTCTTTCTTTCTCTCTTTCTCATTTTTTTCTCGTTATTTTCTGTTGTTTGTCTCTCTCTCTTTTCTCTCTCCTCCTATTCTCCTATTTGTCCCTTTCGACTCCTCCGTTATTATCCTCTCTTCCTTGTCTCCTATCCCCATCATTTCTCTTTTTCTCCTTTTCTCCCTCCTCCCTCTTTCCTTCTCCTTTTCTTCCTCCTCTTCCCTCTTCTCCCTACTTCCTTTCCCCTCTTCATTTCCCCCTATTTCTCTCATTTCCTCTCTTCTTCCTCCCCCCCCATTCCCATTCCATCCCGCCCTCTCCCTTCCTACCTTCCTCTTTCCCTTCCCACCTATTTATCCTCTCCTTCTTTGCCTCCATTCCGTCTCTATTTCCTTCCTCTCTTTCCCTCCACTCTATTCCCATTCCCATTCCAGATCCTTCCTTCCTTCCTTAACTTTTCCTTTAATATATTCCCATTCTAACTCCCGTATTTCCACTTCCCTTTATTCTGTTCTCATCTTTATTCTCATTCCAACTCCTTCAATTCCCATTCCCTTCACTCTATTCTCATTCCCATTCCAAATCCCTTTCTTCACTCTGTTCCCATTCCCGTTGCCTCATTTATCTCTCCTGCACTTTATTCCCATTCTCTCCTATCCTTTTCCACCACGTTATTCCCATTCCTATTCCTATTCCCATTCCCATCCATTCCTATGTGTGTGTGTGTGTGTGTGTGTGTGTGTGTGTGTGTGTGTGTGTGTGTGTGTGTGTGCGTGTGTTTATACGTATAAATATACATGTTCTATGTATTTCCATCCATTCCTATCCCCACTCCCACCCATTCATATCCCCATTCCCATCCATTGTTATTCCCATTCCCACTCATTCCAATTCCCATTCCTATCCCCATTCCCACCCATTCTTATTCCCATTCTCACCCATTTCTATCCCCATTCTCATTCATTCCTATCCCCATTCATATTCCCTTTTCCCATGCCTATCCCCATCCCCATCCATTCCTATCCCCATTCCGACCCATTCTTATTCCCATTCCCACTCATTCCTATCCCCGTCCCCATTCCTATTCCTATTCCCATTCCCACTCATTCCTATCCCCGTCCCCATTCCTATTCCTATTCCCACCCATTCCTATTCCCATCCCCATTCATTCCTATCCCATTCCTATTCCCTTTTCACATGCCTATCCCCATCCCCATCCATTCCTATTCCCGTTTCCATTCCTATTCCCACTCCCACCCATTCCTACCCCCATTCCCACACATTCCTATCCCCGTTCCCATCCATTCCTATTTCCATTCCTATTCCCATCCCCATTCCAATCCCCACTCCCATTCCTATCCCCATTCCCATCCATTCCTATTCCCTTTTCCCCATTCCTATCCCCATTCCCATTCCCGTTTCCATTCCTATTCCCCTTCCTATTCATTCCTACCCCCATTCCCACTCCCATTCCTATCCCCATTCCTATTCCTATTCCTAATCCCATTCCCACCCACTCCACTCCGAAATGAGGCGCGATGGCGAACTCAGCATTCCCTCGTTTAGAAAATAAAACACGATTAAGGAGTAAATTTTTCACAATCAGGCATATAATCAAACAAAAATTTACATGGCGGGTTGAGCTGTATTGGGGGGGGATAGGGGGAAGGGGGGGGGTGAAGAGGGGTTGAGGGTAGGGGGAGGGAGGGGAGGGAGGGAGAGGGAGAGGGAGTGGAGTGGGTAGAGAGGAGAGGGGAGAGGGGAGAGGGAGGAGGGAGAGTGGAGTGGGTGGAGAGGAGAGGGGGGAAGGGGAGAGAGAGGGGGGAAGGGGGAGAGAGAGGAGAGGGAGGGATAGTGGAGTGGGTGGAGAGGCGAGGGGAGAGTGGGGAGAGGGAGGGTGAGGGGAGAGTGGGGTGGGTGGAGAGGGGAGAGGGGAGGGGGAGGAGGGGAGATGGGGAGGGGGAGGAGGGAGAGGTGGGGGGATGGAGGGAGGAGGAGAGTGGGAGAGGGTGGAGAAGTGGGATGGGGAGAGGGAGGGAAGGGGAGGAGGAAGAGTGGGGAGGAGAGGGATGAGGGAGAGAAGGGGAGGGGAGGAGAGACGGGAGAGTGGATAGGGGAAGGAAAACGGAAGATAGGGGAGGATAGAATTGGAAGTAGGGGGGAGGGGGTGCAGGTGGAGAGGGGAGTGGGTGGCGGAGAGAGAAAGTGGAGGCGAGGTAATCCGAATGAGGAAAGGAGAAGAACGAGATGGATAAACGGAGGGAAGAGGAAAGAAGAGAGGGAGGGTTTGAGGAAGCGAGATAAAGGAAGGAAGGGAGGAGAACATAAGAAGAGAGAGAGAGAGAGAGAGAGAGAGAGAGAGAGAGAGAGAGGGAGGGAGAGGGAGAGGGAGAGGGAGAGGGAGAGGGAGAGGGAGAGGGAGAGAGAGAGAGGGAAAGAGAAAGAGAAAGAGAAAGAAAAGAGGAAAAGGGAGGGAGGGAGGGGGAGAGAAAATGAAAATGAAAAAGAAAAAGAAAGAAATAGAAAGAAACAGAGGCAGAAGAGAAACAAGAGGCTAAAAAGAAAGAAAAGACAAATCCACCTCTTAAGAAATCCCAGAGCTCTCTTTCTTCCCCGGCAACGATATATTTCGAAGGCTAAACCCAAAATCCGACCGTAAACACGGAAAGATACGGACAAGTGCCTCCGGTGCGGGTAACTCTAACAAAGTCGCCCACAAGTCGTATGGAGTAAGTTGGAAATGGATGGAAGCTTCACGTCCAAGCATATTTTATTTGCCCGCCTTTCCTGAATTACCAAGCCAGCCGTGGATAGTAAACACTGGAAAATGGTATTATGGCTATCGTTTCGCGTTTTGTTTATACTGGAAAATTGTCTGTTACGGGCGTGTTCAATCTCGTGCACCGAGAGATCCAGCACAGTTTGGGTATCTTCACCGACACTTCATCAGCTATTTTGAATTTCAGTTGAAAATATTTTGGAGGACTAAAAAAAAAGGGTAAAGATAATAAATCAAACTATTTTCTGAATGTTAAAAATGCTGTACATATATTCATTTTGTTAAACCTTAACCCAATCGCCCCGTATGTCAACTGTAATAGAAAGAAAAAACACATTTTCTCGCCAATTCAAGGAATGGAGAAATCAGGATCGGTCACTTGGGCTACTGATAGACTCCTTGCCGGCTGAATGCATGTGGGGCCATTTGTGTGTAACATTCATAAAAAAAAACTACAGAGGACAGAACATAAATCCGGAGCGAATGGGTTAAGACTATCTTCTTATTATAATTATATTATAAAAAAGGAAATGACGGACTTATATATTTATGTTACTGGGGCATACTAAGAATAAACATGAAATTAACTGCAAATCTGTTATTCTATAATTGATTTTTATCTATCATTGTCGAGTGAGGTATTTTTAGACATAAATGTCATTGTGCTATATGTAACGGATCTTCTTTTTATCTTAGAAGGCAAACTAGTTAATGTATGCAATCACAATGCAAATGAATTATGGTTAAAATCAATGGAAATAAGAGCAATAGTATATATTCGTCAACATATTATAGTATTCGCCTTGTGACAGCAAAATATTCTTTCAGATTTTACATTCATCCCATATATTCTTACAGGTTACATAATTTTTCAGTCATATAATAGTGATAGTTACATCAAAACTACATTCCCCGCTGATCAAATTCATTAACACAAACTAATACTTAATCATACAGAGAAAAATTGAAGACCAAATATATATATATGTGTGTGTGTACCCTTCATTAATCAATCAATTCATATGCACCAACTAGAGGAATTATCATTTTGATAAAAGTTGACAGCCCTTTGACACGATTCCCCCTTTGTTTATGATCCTATTAATAACAATATAAGGGATTTGTTCTTTTCTTTTCCCGCCTAAAACCCTCTGATTCCCCTCCATTCCTAACAGGACCTCATACCGTCGTCGATGAGGAAAGCAGCATTCAAGACGTTCCTGGAATTATTATATATATTTTCTCTGTATATTTACTCTTTTTTGTGTGATTTATCCCGCAGTTTTACCATTTTAGAAGCTAAAGTATTACCTATAGTAGTGTACACATACAGTATAACTCTGTACATATATACTGAATAACTGTGTGTAAACAGTGTACAATATCCCTCTTCGGTTTCTATTCTTCCAATGTGAATATTCTCTATTCTTCCATATGTGTTGTATGTTACAATATCGCACTGTCACTGTTAATTATATCTTTTTTTCCATCTTTGTATCTTCGATCTCCTTCTTCGTTTTCCATGAGTCATTATTTCAGGTGGATGTATGGATTTGAAACTTCCATGCAACCATTAGCTACCTTCATTCACTATCGTCAACTCAGCCGCTGCTTGAGCTTGTATTTTCCATTTTAGTTTATGGCTTTAGCTTCTTTCTCTCTTATTCTTAATTATCCACGCTTGCTTATTCACCATTAGGTTTGCTTCGGCTTCTGAATCACTCTGCATAATAATCCCACCCCTGCCACCATATGCATAATTCCACGTACCCCTCGGCAGCTTACACAGGTGATTATTCTCAGCGAGTTATGTGTGCCATGGAGTCTTGGACACCATCAAGGAGCTATTAACATTCGTCCGAAGGCACCATCTGTGGTGTCTCCTCCAGTCTTCCGTGACGGAGTTCTCCCTTCTTCATATAAGCCATCACTCCATTGCCCCAGACCTTATCATCCAGCGATGTCCAGTAAGTAACCAATAGTGACGCTGGGGATGTCACACAGGGCAGTGTTTTTCTTTGAATCCTCTTCCTTTTGTGGGGTGGACAGGGCCTAATCATCTCTCAAAAGAGCAGGACAGGATGAAAAAGGCTTTTAGAGATTATGCTTTTTATTCCAAATGGCGGTATTAAATTTTGCGTGGGTAGGTATTTAATAGATCATTGGTGAATAGATTGCGTTTGTGGAATCTGAAAGCACGAGTTGCTCCACCTTATTGCAAGCAGATTTTGATATTTGTCTTAGTGAGAATTTATTGTACAGACATCCTTCGCTAAACAATCAGCAGACGATTGGTCAACTACGCGTTCATAAATATTTCCTTCTAAAGATGTAAAGTTTAAAATGAAATTATTTATTACTCGGTCTGCGATTGATGATAAGATTGCATGAGTTCGCTACATGAAGAATTATGCTCAGCTTTGTTACTTTTGTTTGATCTTCATAGTTCTTGGCAGACACTGGGATTTTTGCTCGATCTTTTAAGCAGTTGGGGATCCTGTTACAGTTCTAATAATAGTGTGTATGTGAATTTACCAGTACCTCGGGCAAAATACAAAGAAAATGTTGGGATAGCAAAGTGTCACTATGAAAGAAATACGGTGACAGCGCTCTACTTAAAAACAACCTGTTTCTGTCCATTTTCATTTTTTTTTTTTTTCAATTCTGTACCATTACATAATAGTGTTAAAGATTACAAATAAGGTCTTATATAGTCGACTGATTACTTCTTTACTCTTGCTAATTCCCTATAATACAAACCTCCATTAACAGGGATGTTATCAAGTTTTCCGTATGCGATTGATCATTTTCGGTCCGAATGAAAAAATAATAATAATGATAATAATAAAAAATAAAAAATTACCTGAACATGCAGCAAAGGATGTCTGTATTGGAAATCAGAAGGAAAAAAAATATATGTTACCAGTTTGAAGGTGATACAATGAAGGACTCTGAAAGCACATATCACTGAAATGTGTTGAATGTGTGAATTGTGATGCAATACTGAAACCAAAATTTCAATTACACATTAATACTGATTTCAAATTATGGATTTATGTGGATATCAGGTAAGGAGTCAGGTCTTATTGATATTCAAACCACCCGCATTATGTGATGATTATGCATTTTATTCGAGTGATATGCAAATAGATGATGAAATTATTATTCAACTGAAATTCCAGCAGACTTTCAATTAATATCAATAAATACATATATCATATGATAATTGCCTGTACACTGCAGTTGAAAAACACTGTCCTAGGATACCGTTTCCAAGCAATCATTCTCTCATGCAATTTAGCAACATTCTTACACATATCGTGATAGACAGTCAGCTGTTAAACCTTTCTCAAACCATACTATCCATTATGACTATCACCATCACTCCATACACTGAATTTATTTAACGATACATGTACTCTTTGACTGCTGGGAATCTTCAAGAACACTGAAGGTCAGTATAGTATAGAAAAAATAATAATAAAAAAAAGGGATAGAGAAAAATCAGATTAAAATGCGCCTATGTCCCCCAATGCAGCTTAAGTCCTAACTAATGCTATATTTGCACACTTCCTCCCTCCCCTGACATTTAAGCAAAGGACAAGATATCTATTTCAAAATGGCGGAAAAAAAACAGGCCTTCTCATACAGTTTGGGAAATTCAGTTCTTAACCGGACGTGATGCAGGAGCCGAAACTAACATAGTCTAACGGAGTTCTAGGTTTTTTGCAATTGCATTTTGCTTTTTCTTGTTCTTTACGCTTTGTGGTGTTTTTTTTTTCTTCTTCTTCTTCGATTTCCTCTTTTTTTCTTATTGTTTCTTCTTATTTTTCTTTTTTTCTTCTTCTTCTTCTTCTTCTCCTTCTTTTCTTCTTCTTCTTTTTCTCCTTCTTTTGTTCTTCTTCTCCTACTTTTCTTCTTCTTTTCCTCTACTTCTTTCCTTCTTCCTTCCTTCTTCTTTTTCTTCTTTTCTTCTATTTCTTCTCCTTCTACTTCTCCTTCTTCTTTTCTTCTTCTTCCTCTTTTTCTCCTTCTTCTTTTCTACTTTTCTTCTTCTTTTCTTCTTTCTTATTCTTCTTCTCTTTCTTCTTTTCTTCTTCTTCTTTTCTTTTTCTTTTTCTCCTTCTTTTCTTATTCTCCTTCTTTTCTTATTCTTTTCTTATTCTTCTTTTCTTCATTTCTTCTTCATCTTTTCTTCTTCTTCATCTTTTTGTTTTTTGTTTTTTTGTTTTTTGCTGAGTCAGGATATTTTTCCTCGTTTGTTGTTAGTGTTTCGCTTTTGTGGTTTGTGGTCTTTGCTTGT